AGATATACGATTAATCATGTAGCACTATCATTCAAAATTCAAATGGCGCTATCATTCAATTTGAAATTCAAATTGAGGATGAGGCACTCTTATCACCTAGATGGCCCTCTATAAATATGAGGACCATCACACAAGAGAGGGGATCGAAAAATCAGAAGTGAGAATATTAGAGAAAGAGAGAAAGAAATTAAGAGCCAAAGAAGTAGTTACAAGAAAGAAGTTGAGAGCTTACACTACATTGCAAGCATCTGATACGATGGCGAGCGTTAGGTAAAGGGTTCCAAACCCAACTATTGTATTTTGTATCTAAAGATTCTAAATTCCTACAATTTCAATAAAACATTTCTTTTTCTTAATTTGTCTTCTGTTCATTTTGTTGTTCTTCATTAATCGGATGTCTCATTTAAATAAATATAGATTGGAAATAGGAACATACTATTCAAATAATCAACACTATTTAGTCCAAAAAAATTAAACAATGGACATTTGTAACATGAGTTTTGAAATGTGTTGAAACACTTCATGTTTCAAAATTTGTGTCTACAAACATCACAGATAAACCTTGCGTTGAAACCACACATGCAATATGCATACTCACACAATCATTGTTATCAGAAAACGTTAACACCCTAGCGATTTACGCTCTGGAAAACACATTCAAAACATGGTACACCTTCGTTCCAAAATGGTAAATTTAGTGATCTAAAGACACAGGGACACGTCGGTGACATGGCAGGCACACACCATTAATTTTATTATTTTAACAATAAACTAAAATTTAGATGGAGTGAAGTTTTGGATTGACAAAATGTAAAACAATGGGTCACAATGTTCATACAACTATGTTGTTGAACGATTAATTTGAAGAACTGTACACTATAATTTAGTGGATGTCAAATTAACAAATCTACTCCTATTGTACCACAATTTACAGCATGTAGCATATCGCATTCCTGTTCCTCATACCAAAACAATCCACCTTCTAGGTAACATAGCATACAAGAAATTATTTCTTTAATCTTCTTCCTATTGGACAATTTATTTATACCAAAAAGACAAAATTATAAGTTCAACAAAGATGATACCAATAGCAATTAACGAAGTGTTGCTAGTTTTCTGATGATAAAAATGACCCACTGTTATAGGTAATAGCGGTGTATAAAAATTACAGGAGCTTTTACCAACTAAGAAGTACAAACACGGACACATGACATGACACGAACACGCGGACACGCAAATTTTTAAAAAATGTAAGGCACGATACGTTGAAAACACATGCAAAACATATAAATTTAAATATTTATTATATGTCGTATTTTTAAATATTTTATATCAAATTTTAATTTTACCAAATTTATGAACCTTAAGTACGCTATTTAATAAAAAAATTAATTTTTTTTTTGAAAAAAATGGTCCTCAACTTGTCCCAACATGTCTGCAGCGTGTCCTCAACTTGTCCGCAGCGTGTCCCAAGTGTCCTAGTGTGTCCCAAGTTTCCTAGCGTATCTGACTCTCTACAACGTGTCCGGCACGTGTCCGTGTCCGACACGTGTCAGACACCTGTACGTCACCTCCAAAGACGTGACCATGATTCATAGCATTCCACCACCATAGTCATCAACAAACTCCCCATTACAAGCAAGAGAATAACAAGACAAGTAGAAAAATAATGTGCCCACGCACCATACTGTTTTTTCAACAAGCTTCCAAGAAAGACGTTGATGATATAATAATTGTGGAGGTTATAGAAATAACATGCCCTGTATCACTCATTTTCTCAAAACAGTTTCCAGAGATAACACAACAATATATTTCTTGTTGCGATTAAGATGGACATACTCCCTGCATCACAGTTGATCAGACAATACTTAGAACTATCTAGCTAGTTTGAATAGAACTCACCATAAAACTTTAAGCTTACCGGCAAATAGTATTTTAGACTAGACTATGTAGGTATGTAACCCAATCACTAGAATACATTCTACTTGACGAAACGTTATCCCAACTATGGGCAGTGCAGAAAATATTCATTTAAATTCATGCTCTTTTGCTAGTGAAATGCAAGTGAAGGCAAAAGGTGCAAGTGAAGGCAAAAGGTGCAAGTGAAGGCAAAAGGTGCAAGTGAAGGCAAAAGGTGCAAGTGAAGGCAAAAGGTGCAAGTGAAGGCAAAAGGTGCAAGTGAAGGCAAAAGGTGCAAGTGAAGGCAAAAGGTGCAAGTGAAGGCAAAAGGTGCAAGTGAAGGCAAAAGGTGCAAGTGAAGGCAAAAGGTACAAGTAACAGATGTTTCGAATGTAGCATTTGGTACATTTAGGAAACAACCATATACAATGAAAATAATTAATAAAGAGAGCATAAATTCATGACAAAATGTGATATCTAAACTAACAAAGCCACCCAAAAAAAAACCTAACAAAACAAAATAAAAGGCCAAAGAACAACCCACCTTGGCTCTAAGATGGCCCACAGGACTGCTGAACTCAGGGAAAACATGATGTATTAACATACGCTCGAGTTCAGACTTGTAAGGTTCAGTTTGTTTTAATTTATCACATAATGCCCCAATAGCAAGAAGAGCACCATCTTTCTGTCGATAGGGTTTATATCCCACAGATGCCTCATCATATCTGGAATAGAAAAAAGACATGAAAAGATGAGCTTACTGCATGCATGTACATCATAACAGTAACAATAGTCCACCATCTAAGAAGTATGGACACGCGACACGACACGACAATTTTCGAACAATGTAGAACACAACACATGGAGGACATGCACAAAATATGTAGTTTTATATATTTATTTATGTCATATAAATGAATATATCATTCAAAGATAATAAAAAAAATGTAACATAACATTAACTCCTACAAATTTATATTGTTTTTCTTTTATTATTGTATCCTATGTTATTTTGCTCAAACTTATAATTAGTTTCATGTGTGTCTAGTCGATGGACACATATGTCTAAGCGATAGACATGTGTCCCTTCAAGTGTCCGAATAGTGTTCAGGTCTACAAAACCTTTTAAAAAGTAGGACACATTTTGATGAATGTCAGACATGTATCGGGAAGTATCCATGTCTATATCCGACACTAACACGCTACCTTCTTAGAAGTGTATGTGCTTCTTAGTCTACCATAGACGGAAAAATGTGAAATACCTCCTAAAAATCTCCACAATGAATCGTATAAACTTCTGAAGGTTCTCTTTCCCACGCTTTCTTACCAACTCACTCACAAAATCCATTGCAGCTGTCCTAGGACTATACAAATCTTCAACTATATCTGCACCAAAGAAACGGAGATGATAACCCAAAAATAAACTAACAATAGGATTTTAGGTGACAAAATTAGACTCTGATTACTCACCATACCCCTTCCTCACATATTCATGTGGATCTTCATCCCAAAGCTTTTGATCATTGTCATTAAAGCACATAAGTGGAAAAATTACCTCAAAAAGAACAATATCAAGTCTTGGTTGCAGCTGATTGTACATACTGATCTTCGAAATACTGCATATTAAAAAAATTTGAGTATGATCCACACATCAAACTATCAAATTTAAATAATCTTTTTCTTTTTCTTTTTTTTGATAGGCCAAAATATTAGCTAAACATAGGAAGCAACATCGCCACATAGAAGATATGACTACTTAGAATATATCTCCATTGCAACATCATCTGACACTCATTGCAGGAGTGTTCAACTAAAGAAAAGTAGCAAGCCTACCTTATCCACTCTTGGTTTCGATGATACTATCCAAGTTTGTTCCTATGCTACATTTGAGATTTACCCACTTTTAACAAGATGTTTTGCATCAGAATTTCACTTTACTAAGTTGTTGGAGGATTGATCATGGTGATAACTAAATCACCCGGACACTTAAACATAATAGACTTGACATGCATGCATGAAACCATGTAAAAAAAAGCCAGATAAGGCACTTCAAATTCCCTGATCAATAAAGCAGTTATTTTTCGGGTCTCTGGCTTTCTGCGGTACATTGATCTTCTATTACAAAAACTTGTTAAGAAATTGGATGCAATAAATATTGTATATCAGGCTCAGCATTGCCTAGGCAAGTTCAATGTATAAGACCATAGAGCAACAATTAGAGAGAAGCAGAAGCTGTGAGAAGCAGCACCCTAAATAGAACCTTTCTGATTTCAAGAAAATCAAATTTTAATTCAGTATTTTCCTGTGTTATGCTGATATTATTCTCTCTGTCAATTTTTTTTCCCACCCTTTTATCAGCTACAAAGAAATATAATATCATTAATAATGGTAGGAAAAAGTACAAAAAAGGAAGCAAAGGAGAAAAAGTCCTCCAAAAAGAAAAGAAAGGAAAAGAAAAGTACAACTACAAATCACAAACCACTCTCCAACCACTATTAATCAAAAACAAACAAATCCCTTTAAAAGCCATGGAAAAGGACACCCAAAAAGGAGCCAAGAAACACAATTTTTCCCACAAACTCTCTAAATCTTCATATTTATTCTAAAAAATTCTCCAATTCCTTCCCAACCAAATTACCCAAAGCACCACACAAACTACACAATTCTAAGGCCAAATCCTCTTCAATCATTTTGCAACATTTGAACACTTAAGGAAGGTAGAACTCAATCCAACTCTGCCAGCAGCAATTATTTTATGTCAATGTACAATAGCCAGCTAAGTTAGACGTAACCATACTTCCAAAAAAGGAAAAGAAGAAAGAAGAAGTTTGCAAAAGCCAACTTAAAAATTGCCAGCATTTAGCACATAAAATTCTAGACCCCGATTACTTCAAAACAATTATCAACAAAGAAAATTGTCTTAGAAACATGCAGAGGAAGCACAACCCTTATGCAACCAAAATTACTTTTAAAAAGCTCGTTGTTTCAGGTATGAGCTATGATCCCACATAAGGAAAACAACAAAAACTTGTTCAAATTACAGTAAATACACCAACAGATGATACAGTGGAGAAAATCATGTAATGGAATGGAATGGAATGAACAAAGGTCATGTAACACAAACCTGTTGCTTAGATACTGCAAAATAAAATTTGTAACTCTATCAGGCAAATAACCACCAACACGGATCACATTCAACAAATTTAAATGGTACTCCAAAATTTTCCCTGCATAGTTTTTCTGGAACATTTGGGCAAAAGTTCTGTTTTCTAGGTTTTGAAGTTTCGAATCTCTAAATCGGATGTATAAGCGATTTAAAATGTGAACTGTCCACTTTTTTTTTTTTTTACCTTCCACCATCCCCATGATTTCCTGAGCTCTGGATCAGCAGGTTGGCCTTCTACTGGGACAGGCCTCTCCAATACATTTAAGAAAAGAACCATCCAAGCATTGAAGACATTTGGATCAAATAACTGCTTTGGAATCTCCAACTGAAAAGATTGAAAGATTACCAAGATAAGAAGATTAGCATACAGGAGATTTTCTTAAATGAACAATACAAAACTGACAATCTTATTGAAAGGCTGCAGCTGGAAGGTAAAAGGATGCAATTTGGATTTTATTCACACATTGTATTGCGAAATGTCAATAATCATTACTGAAAACCAACATATCTGTGATTCTCCCAACAAACTCGCTGGCCTCTGATGCTCGGCCTTCACTTAAACTAGAAGAAAATCAGCGGGTTCCTCTCATTCAGAAGCATTTGTTGTGAGAGGCCGAAGCAAAACAAGGGGAATGAGTAAGACTCCTCATGGTCGTGATCAAAGCCGTAACAAATCAAAAGATGGTTCTTTTTCAAAGAAAGACATTGAGTGCTATTATTGCCATGAGAAAGGGCACATGAAGCGAGAATGCCGAAAGCTCAAGAATAAGGAGAAAAGGCGTGATAAAAGTGTGGATAAGAAGCAAGAAGACACAACGGCAGTTACTACTGATGATCTCATAGTTGTTTGTGAAGATAATTGTATCAATTTTGTGGGCCAAGAGAGCAATTGGGTGATTGATTCCGGTGCTTCTTTTCATGTGACTTCTTGAGTTGATTTCTTCACTACCTACACCGAAGGAGATTATGGTTTGTTCGAATGGGTAATGAAGGTTTGTCCAAGATTATTGGCATGGGTGATGTTTTCTTGGAAACAAATTTGGACTGCAAGTTGTTGCTTAAAGATGTGAGGCATGTTCCCGATATTCGCCTCAATTTGATCTCTACTAGGAAGTTAGATGATGAAGGCTTCAACAACAAATTTTGTGATGGAATATGGAAGCTCACAAAGGGTTCTTTAGTGGTGGCTAAGTGCAAGAAGACTCATACACTTTATTCAATGCAAGAAAAAATTTGTAAAGGTGTTGTCAAAGCACTTGAAGATGATACTTCTACCGAATTGTGGCACAAGCGGCTTGGCTACATGAGTGAAAAGGGGCTGCAAGTATTGTTCAAGAAAGAGCTTCTACCTGGTTTGAAAGGTACACATCTTAAAACTTGTGTTCATTGTTTGGCGGGTAAACAACATAGAGTTTCTTTTCAAAAAAATGTTGCTTCCACTACAAGAAATCTAGGCTATTGTGACAAAATTTGGTGACGAAATTTTTTTTTGTCTTAAAATTTAACCCAAAGATGACGAAATATTAATTTTGTCGTTTGTTTTAATTTTTCTCAAAAGTATAGGGGACGAAAACAAAATTTCGTCTGCAGAAATGAGATGCCAATTTAATTTGCATTGGCGCGAATTATTTTAGCTCATTGGAGACGAACATTTTTGTCACAAAATATTTTTTTTTTTTGTGACGAATGTAATTCGTCGCCAATAAATTCCATACCTATTAAACGATGTCGTTGCATATTTCCATTTATTAGGCAACAAATATATTTTTGTCTGGGAAGGATAAGTTATGGAAGACAAAAATATTTCGTCACCAATAAACACTCCATCATGCAGACAATGCCATTTCATCTTTCTATTAAATAGGCGACAAATATATTTTTGTCTTGGAAGAATAATTTATGGGAGACGAAAATATTTCGTCACTAATAAATTCAAATTGATTGCGTGACAAATATATTTTTTGTCTCATAAGGTTAAATTGTGGAAGACAAAAATATTTCATCACCAATAATAAATTCTTTGTTCTGGTATTTAAGGATACAAAAATATTTTATCACTAATCATTTTTCTTTATTAAAATGCCGTGGTTTTGTGTTTCGAAACATTGAAATTGTGACCTCAAGAGATACACTCTGACACTTATCACTCATTTTTATGTACACAGACCTTGAAGTCATGACCCAAGAAGACACTTTCTACAAACCCTCATTTCTCTCTCGCACTTAAGTCTACTCCTCTCTCACAAGTATGGAAGTCGTGACTCAAGAAGACACTCTGTAAGCCATTTCTTCTATTTCACGATAAAGCCTCTCTCTTCTGGCTCACACTTAAGCCCTTCGTGCATGCCAGCATTGAAGCTATTATCCAAGAAGGCCCCCTATGCAAACCCACTATTCTTTCTCACAATGAAGGCCCCACTTGCACACAAGCACTTTTTCTCACTGTCTGAACCAACTTTACCCTTTCCGTCTAGAACACCCATTTCAGAAAAATCGAAGGTCAAAAAATCTCTCCACCAAAAAAAACAAAAAAAAACAAAAAAAAAAAGATAATTAATGTAGCTATTTTTTTGTGAGAAAAAATACAGAGAAACAAATAATAAAAAATTTGTAATTTTCAAGATTAATAGAAAAACATTGCCTTATTTAGTATGAAGTTTTCAATAATTAATTTTTAAAATTTGGTGATAAAATTTATTTTCGTTTTAGAATGTAACCCAAACATGACCAAATATTACTTTTTTCGTTTCTTTTAATTCTTTTCAAAACTATAGGAGACGAAAAAATAAATTCGTCAGAAAAAAAAGGCGCCAATTTTTTTTCTTGTTGGCGCCAATTATTTTAGCTCATTGGAGACGAACATTTTTGTCACAAAATTTAAAGTTTTTTGCGACGAAAGGAATTCGTCACCAATAAATTCCAAACTTATTAGAAAATATCGTTTCATTTTCTTATTTATTTGGTGATAAATATATTTTTTGTCTGGGAAGGATAAGTTATGGGAGACGAAAATATTTCGTCACCAATAAATTCTTTATGCTCGTTTTATCTTTCTATTAATTAGGCGACAAATATATTTTTTTCTCGGAAGGATATGTTTTGGGAGACGAAAATATTTCGTAACTAATAAATTCTCCACGTGTCGTGTTGCATTTTGATTGATTGCGCAACGAATATATTTTCGTCTCATAAGGTTAAGTTGAAGGAGACGAAAATATTTCATCACCAATAAATTCTCCATCCCCACACAACGTTGTTTTTGTATTTTTGTTGATTAGGCAACGAACATATGAGTTTGAGACGAAAATATTTTATCATTATTTATTTCTCTTTATTAAAATGTCGTCAGAAACTAAGAGACACTCTCACCTTAATCACTTACTTTCACACACACACAAATACTAAAGTCGTGACCCGAAAAGACACCCTCTACAAACCCTCATTTCTCTCTTGTACTTAAGTCTCCTCTCTCACAAGTATTGAAGCTGTGACTCGAGAAAACAATCTCTATAAACCATCTCTTCGATTTCGCACTAAAGCTCCTCTATTCTCTCTCACATTTAAGTCGTTTGTGCATGCAAACAGTATTATCCAAGAAGACATTTTGTGCAAAGCTACTATTCTTTCTCACAGTAAACCCCTCTCCACAAAAAGAAAATAATAACAATAATAATTAAACAAGGAAACAAAATACAAGAAATCTAGGCTATTGTGACAAAATTTGGTGACGAAATTTTTTTTTTGTCTTAAAATTTAACCCAAAGATGACAAAATATTAATTTTGTCGTTTGTTTTAATTTTTCTCAAGCGTATAGGAGACGAAAAAAAATTTCGTCTGCAAAATTCAGGCGCCAATTTCATTTGCATTGGTGCGAATTATTTTAGCTCATTAGAGATGAACATTTTTGTCACAAAATATATATAATTTTTGCAACAAACGTAATTCGTCACCAATAAATTCCCTACCTATTAAACGATGTCGTTGCATATTTTCATTTATTAGGCAACAAATATATTTTTGTCTAGAAATGATAAATATGGAAGACGAAAATATTTCGTCACCAATAAACACTCAATCATGCAAACGATGTCGCTTCATCTTTCCATTAAATGGGCGACAAAGATATTTTTGTCTTGGAAGAATAAGTTGTGGGAGATGAAAATATTTCGTCACTAATAAATTCTGATTGGTTGCGCGACGAAAATATTTTTCGTCTCATAAGGTTGTGTTGTGGAAGACAAAAATATTTCGTCACCAATAATAAATTCTCTGTTCTTATATTTAAGGAGACAAAAATATTTTATCACTAATTATTTCTCTTTATTAATATGCTATGGTTTTGTGTTTCGGAGCATTGAAACCGTGATCCCAAGAGACACACACTGACCCTTATCACTCATTTTCATGTGCACGGACACTTAAGTCGTGACCTAAAAAGACACTTCCTACAAACCCTCATTTCTCTCTCGCACTTGAGCCTACTCCTCTCTCACAAGTATTGAAGTCGTGAAGCAAGAAGACACTTTGTAAACCATTTCTTCTATTTTCGCAGTAAAGCCCCTCTCATATGTCTCACAATTAAGCCCTTCATGCATGCCAGTATTGAAGCTATTATCCAAGAAGGCACTCTATGCAAAACCGAGTATTCTTACTCACAGTGAAAGCGCCTCTTGCATAAGCACTTTTTCTTGTTGTCTGAACCAACACTACCCTTTTCATCTAGAATACCCATTTTAGAAAAATCGCAGGTCAAAACCCCTCTCCACAAAAAAGAAAAAAGAAAAAAAAAAGATAATTAATGTAGCTTTTTTTTTGTGAGAAAAAAAACAAACGAAAAATTAATAATAATTTATTAATTTTGAAAATTAATAGAAAATATTACCTTGTTTAGTATGGAGTTTTCAATAATGAATTTTTAATTTTTAATCTGTATTTTTTTAGTGAACATTTTTTAATATTATAATTTTTTTTCTTTTTTTTACTTTTTAAATCCCTTTAATTTAGATGAGGGCAAATTGCAGCAGTTGTCCCGGTACTTTGGTCCTTGTGTCATATAAATGGTATGTGCCATATCTATATCTATCTACATATCTATAT